ATAAACAATCTGCACAAGTGATAGGGTACTATGATGAGCAATACACAAAGGCGATATAAGATATGAAAACAAGAATAAGAACGCCAATGCAATCACAAACACACGATATGATCACGGAGTTCGGACCTTCCGTCCTACGTCTCCGCTCCCCACTCCCGGGGAGAATTCCACTATCACAACCGGGGTTTTTACGTTCACCCGGACAACGTTTACACCTCACAGTATCGGTTTTCAACGCTCACCGATCAACGTCACTCCTCACAATCGGTACTGTATATCTGATTTTGAAACACTGTTTAAAAATATCAAATAAATTCCAAAAAATGTAAAACTTTGGGGGAATGATTGTAGACATGATAATAAACATGCTACAGCGCCTGGTTATCAGAAAGGACTTCCCAAATGAAAAATATCATCATTTTACAAAATAGTCCAAAACATGAAAATATGAGATACTTGAATTTTGATGTTTTGACATAAACCAACTTTTGAAACTTTGTGAAATATTTTTATAGACTTAGTAAAACATGTATAAACTGATATTGAAGTCTACAAACTAAGAATACGATATTTTCACAAATACAATAGAAAATGAAACCTATGAGTATGTATATGAAAATATATTTGTTTCATATCTATGTAGATAAACCAAATCACAATAATAAATATGAAACATGTAATTTCATATTTATAAACATGAAAACCAAAACTTGTGTTGTATATATATGTGATTACATATATATACAAGGAAACTAATAAAATGTGTGTGTATAGATAATTGAGCTTAGAGTACTTAACACACATAATATAAATCCTAAACTACATTACCCAAGCAATCTTGATCTTCAATTAAGCTTGACTTGGTAAACGTTGCGGATGAAGCTTGAACTTGATCTTTAACTTGAATTGTTGTATAGGCTTCAATCCGACATTCCGCCAACCTCCTTTGGATATGATCGTTGAAGCTCTATTCCATCCATCCTCCAACAACGTTATTTGTCTACAATACATAAGAATGTACAAACACTAGACAAACAACATTAGTAGTAAATTGTTTGTTAAACATCATCAAAACAAAGAGGCCAACAGTTATTTGTAAATGACATCTTGATTATTATAAATTACAGGTAGAGATTCCAAGTAAGAAAAAAAATTTAAAATTCATGTGGATCTTATGAGACGCCCCAGAGTTTAGGGGGTTATATAATAGTTTCCTTTTTATTTTTACTAGTTTTTACACACGTGCAATGCACGTGTTTTAATACCATGATTAAGTATTTTTGGCAGTTTGTGCTTATTTTTTTCTTTAAACTCTTACATCCCGATTATTTTTTATGTTTGTTTAAATAGGATACACCCAATTTAAATTTTCATGTTGATATTTGAATTGACAAAAAACAAATATAATTTAAAAATAATTTGAATTTTTATATTATTTTTGACCGATATGAAACCAAGTTTTATTTGAGAAAGTATAGCATTGCAAAGTGAAAAATATTAAAATAGTGTTATACAAGGAAGGTGAATATTTAAAACCAATATGGCAAAATAATTGATTTAAAGTATGTTAAAACGATGCAAAAGAGAATATGAAGTTTATTCCTAATCATTGATAGACTTCATAAAAAATATAAATTAAAGATTAATGCTAACTCTAGTATACTTTTATATGATAAAAACATCCACATAAGAATATAAAAGTACTAAAAAAATTCATGAAACTCCCTTCTAAAGATTCCTAATTTCACTCAAAATAATTAAACTATTCTATAAAATATTCATAAAATATTGTTTTTATTTCTTCTATTTTATTTTTTATTGAGTTAAGATCAATCCTTCTTCAGGTTTATCATTTATTATTTCTCGAACAATTCTAGAGTATTGTCTTCATCATCTACATCAATTGTGACATCAGGCTAATTTTGTATTTTTTATGCTATTATCTTTCCTAGGCTCGTTAATTTTTTATCATCTCATTTAACTTTACAAAGAAGTCAAATGTACTTATGATGTTCAACACAAACTGCTCAAAATATAGACTTTGATTTTTTTTCTATTTCAATGAGAATAAATATTAATTTCATATATATAAAATTCTTTGTGTTCCTAATTTATTACTTAAATAAATTAGAAGCTATCTCTTTATTTTCCTCTAAAATGAATTCTTCTGATGTGCATCCAATAAGAATTTCTGTTATTTCAATAATATTACCTTTGCTCTATCCCTGTCATTTTCCATAAAGATCTAAACTAAATACCTGCATTATTCATTACCAATTTCTCTTAGATTATAATATTAATATTTAATTTGAAGAACACAGTATGGAATTTATGAATACTTACTAATTTTTCTTATGTCTTCCATGGAGATTTTTTCTTTGATTAGGATAAAGTTATTAAATTATTTTTTAATGTAACTCATTCAGTGCTTCATTAATAGATATGTCTTATGTTAATGCCAATTCAAGTGATTCATTGACGTTTTCTGAATTTTAGATTTATTTCCATCACTTTCCCATTTGCAATGGAAATAACTCAATTCTTTTAAAGTTATCTCTAAATATTCTAATAGTTTCTCCATATGTAATTCCTTGTATTCTTTTACCCTATAAATATTATTAACGTCAAAGATTAAAGTTTCTAAATTAAAATCAATTAATGCTAAGGTATAATATTATAGTGTTTTATCATTTCTATGGATTTAAACATCTATCAATTAATGTTACGAATGTATTTTGGCTACCCCAACTTATTACTAAAATTATATGAAATTACTTTAATTTATATAGTGCCGATAATTTTTAATCTATAATATTTTTAAAAATTTTATCCATTAACCGGATGTTTTTTTTGCCAAGTTTTAAAATTTTAGCCCATTTTTGTGGTTTTGAACTTTGAGGGTGTGATTTATAATTTTTAAAATTTTGAAAGAGTTTTTAAAAAAAATTTGATATTAGTTTGTTAAAATATATAAAATATTAAATTTCAGCGGTCTACCAATCGACGAATTTGATGTGTGCTAGTTAAAATTTTTGAAAATTTAGAGTTTTTTTTATGATTTTTAAACTACCAATCGACGAATTTGATGTGTGCTAGTTAAAAATTTTGAAAATTTAGAGTTTTTTTTATGATTTTTAAATTTTGAAGGAGTTTTTTAAAAATTTTGAGGTTAATTTTGGCAAATTTTAATTTTTTAGGTGTGTAAGGATAATATCTTGAATTCATCTTATTTTATTTACAAATTTTAGAATTTTAGGGTGGTTTTTTATAATTTGAACTTTTGAATGTGTTTTTATAATTTTTGAGATATTGAGGGTGTTAATTAAAAAATTTAAATTTAAATGTCAAAAATTTTAGGTGTATCATGGTAATCTCTTGAATTCATCTGTGTTGTTTGTAAGTTTTAAAATTTTAGAATTTTAATGTGCTTGTCTGTAATTTAAACTTTTGAGGGTGTTTCTATAATTTTTGAGACATTGAGGTGTTATCTGTAAATTTTAAATTCTTTGCAAACTGATGTTAATTTTTTAATTTCATGTTTTTTATTTTAAGTTTTGAGACATTTGGATGAGTTTTATAATTTTGAACTTTTTAGGGTCTTTTCTGCAATTTAAAACTTTTTATGGTTTTTTTAAAATACTTCATGTATTATAATATGTTATCTACTTGTAATTTCTTTATCTTAAAAAACTAATATCATTTTTATGTTTTATATATTTTATTAATATTAGTTTTTTTAAATTGTTAAGCTAAACATGCTTCACATAGGATTAGGATAAGATATGATTATGATTAGGATAGATTAAGATATAAATAAAATATTCAAAATAGTGAAGGGTAATATTGACCATTGAAAATTAGAATTTGATTATAGATAATGTAGTTCAAACTATAAAGAGGTATATTTGTCTAAAAAAGATTTTCCGAACTCGTGCTTTTAAAGGGAGTATGAATTAGATGGTTAGTGAAAGGTGAAGCCCAACCTGCAGACTCCATCCGCCCTTTAAATTCTGCCTAACCAATCCAGGGCCCCAAAAGTCAAATTCTTTTGTTAGAGAGGGATGGCGAAGGCAGCAGAGCCGGCTGCTTCTCCTCCTAAAATCATATGGAACGAGAGAGAAAGCAAGTTTGAGACGGAGGATAAACGAGCCTACCTCCAATACTATCTCCGCGACGTGACGCCAACGGTCGAAGAAGACGAGAAGAGGAAGATCACGGTGATGGACATGGTCCACACTTTCGTGCCGGGGAGTAAAAGGGGCCTCGGCCTCGCCAACCGCCTCTGCGCTGCTGCGTTTGATCACGCTCGCCGCAATTCGTTGTTCGTCGTGCCCACCTGCTCGTACATCTCGGTAACCGCCTCTCTCTTCCTCTTATTTAGGCTGAGCGTTTCGTCGAACAGTTTGTGGGCAGTTCGTTTTGCGGGATGCCGGGCTTAGAAATTGGCAATTCTCGTAGAGTTGTAAGGTGGGGGTATCAGAGTTAAGATTAAAATTTGAATTCTCGCTGATATTTTGACAATTGTCGATGAGAGCTGTGTTGTGGGTTCCTTTCTGACATTTTGACACTCATGTTGCTCTGAACCACATTTTCATTGGAACATAAATTTTGCTAGACAATCTCATTCAACCCAATCATCAATAGCGTAGTCTATAGAATCTTTCTTATTGTCATCTATTTTCTCCTTACACTATAGTTTCAGCAGCTTAAAATAAGATAGGGTTAATTGCAAACAGACGCTGTGTAGTTCTATTTGTGCAAGTAGACACCCTCTAGTACTGATCCAAGCTTGAACAGTGAATGGACCTCTTAGTGGACTTTCCCGACTCTTTTAAAACGCAAAAGAAATTAGCAATTTGGGTCTATCCTCACCGATAGAACTATACGGGGCTTATCCGCCATCTCAAAACATTTTAAACAATTCTAAGAGTCCAAAAAGAAAAATTCATTCAACGGGTCTTTTTGCACAAATAGAACTAAATGGATTCTATTTGCAACTGGGTGATACTACAAGGGGTATATTAATATTCGCACTTAACCCAATAAGATTTGATATGTTAGACTTTCCCTCCTTGTCCAAATATGGAATAGCAACACTGTCTTTTCTTCCTTCCGTGATTATTCATAGGGATCCATCTTGAACATCCAAACACAGACCCTAGGAATATCAGTAAAAGGGAAGCTAATATTTGATTGAACTACTCAGATGTCAAATATAGCGAGCATCAAGAACATAGGCTGTTTCCTTGCATTAGAACTCATCTCTAAAAATGATTTACCTCATTCACCCACACATAAAGTTATACAAAGGTACTTTAATTTTTCCTTTTGCTGATATTCCTAGAGCCTAGTGCAATTGTCAAAGTATGGATCAGTACAAGTAGATAGAGTTCACTTACATCAATTTATTAACCTTGTTTTTTGTCTATACTCTGAAAACATCTCAGTCTCAATCTACCTGCTGTGATGCTTTCTAATGTTTCATATCCTTTTTTTTTCTTGTCAGTCAAATCTCGATCAAACTGTTTATTACCACCTGACTTTTTTCTAATTTTGGTCTTTGGGTGACAATTTTTGCAGGATACCTTTCTTCCTCGGAATCCTTCGTGGATGTCAGTTGTGTACAGTGAGGATCTGAAGTCTTCCATGTAAAGTATGTTGAATGCTTCTTTTCAAAGTGATGTTTGTGTTGCGTGTTTATGAATCTTTATTGACTGAAATCCTGGTTGTAGTTTTTATCCCTGTAATTTTATCTGTGTGTCCGTGGGGCCTTCTTGAGATGCTTCAGTAAATAAATTATATACTTGCATTGGACTTGTCATCATGCGTCAATAGTATATTGATTGAAATCCTAGTTTGTAGTCATAGTTAATCGTGATGATGGAAAAATTCTGCTTACCATTCTGATTTTGATTAGTTAAGTTTCCTTTTCTTGTACTAATGTTTCTCTCAGAGTGCACATTAATATAAGGATCTCAAGCTTCTTAGGAAACTGAAATAGCAGTGAGAACTTCAAATTGCCTCATGACTCTTTCTCTATTGTGCTTTCTTGCTGATAAGATATAGTCTAAGTGAAATAAGCATAATCAACATATCAGCATCTTTTTTGTTGACAAACGAAAAAGATGATAGAAGAAATTTGAAAATTTTCTGATAGAAATACTCTGCGAAAATGGCAATTTTAAGAACAATGATCAATAAGACTGAAATTTACTGACTTCTTCTTTAGATATAATAGAGAACAATAACATAGAGAAGTCTTGAAGAAGGGAGTATTAAAATTCCACTGAACAATCATTACTCGAGTGATGCATGAGTTGAGATCCAACTTCCAAACCCTACATATTTCTCAGAATGGCCTGCATTTCCGAAGGAGAGGTAGAGGAACAGGATGAAGAAGAAGCTAAAGCTGTTCATGATTAATACTAAAAAGGAGGTCAATGTCCTAAAGATAGATTTAAGCATTCAAGTTAAAGAACTAAGAAACAAATAACTGTACACTACGTGATATGAATTGATTCATAAATCTCATCTCATATATAAGGAATAAACTTGTTACTGAAGTTTTCATTCAGGACAAAAACAATGGAGTATGGTCTAGGAAGTCTCAGGTTCAAGCCCTTAAACAGCGATCAAGTAGCGGGAGTAATACTTTTCTTTTATTTGTTTCACAGATTTTTAAGAAAAGGAGTGAAAGTAGTACTTTTCCTTTCAATTCTTTGGTTTTTCTGTTTGTAGTCTGAAATTTATGGTTTTTTGGTGAACACGTTTCCTTGCGTGCTGTTTGGTTCGTTTGAAAAAGCTGAGAAGCCCTTTTCGTTGCTTTGACATGCTGACCAGCAATGCGAAATGGAGTATGGGCTTTTCAATTTTCAGGTTTGGCTTGCAAATAGAAAATGGGAAATGGGTTGTAGAAAAATAGATCCACATCAGATAGTGGGAAACGACCCATTTCCAACAAAAACAAAGAGAACTAGGCTGGTAGTTGATTTCTCTCCCTCAAACGTTTTCTTCGGTGTGATTTCTTTTTTTTAGGAAAACTGGGAACGGTTAGGATTACCGCTCATTCTTCCCCCTTCTCTCAACTTGGCGCCTCCATTCCTCCTACATATATCTTTTACTAGCAATTTACTGAAGGGATTTTTGACCATTTTGAGTCCATGATGGAGATCCTTGATATTAATCATTCTTCGATGATTTTGGAGTCAAAATTGGGAGTTTGTGAAACTTGCTTCTTGTCTTTAAAAGACACATCCTTTTGGGAAAATCTCACTCTGGTTAACGAGTTGCTCTGATATTTAGTTGGTTTGAGGATGATCTACTAATTAACTATGGTGATTGCACAATTTCTCTCCGTCCTACTTTCCACACCAATTCTGGGAGTGTATTAAGGTATTTCCTTGCGCTTTATTGAGTTATTTGTTGATTTTTCATAGTTAGTTCTACTATATGTCGATCAGTTTTATTTTTCCATAAATATCTTATAGGTTGGACGTGTAAGCTAATATGAATGTAAGCTCTAGATCATAGTGAACAGATCTATAAAGTTTCTGTCTTTATAATGGCAAATAATGATTTGCTGTCATCTCAGGTTTAGATCTTGTTGTATTCTTCTTCTTAAGACCTCTCTCAATGTATCGGATCCTTTGAATCTGGAACTTCATTATTCATTTATGCAACATTCTTAAGTTTTCTTTACAACAAATATCATGCATTTTATTTGCAGCCCTTTATGAAATCGAGTACATTCTGCAGAAAATTGGAAATGTTCATGTTAAAAACTAGGGAATATTAAGATGAAGTCACGTTTGGTAAATATCAAATTCTATCCAAAGAAATTATGAATTAGTGATTAGTTAACCTCTTACATGATATCTACACATTAATCAAAGAAATTATGACTTAGTGATTAGTTAACCATACCAAATATCCTTCAGGACAATGTTTGCTAATATGGCTGAATAGTTCATATTTGTCAGCTGAAATAGTCAATTGTGTTATGATTCTTTCATTTGAACTATATCCTTACTATTTGTCCAAGTGCTGAAAATGATGGTACTTATTTTTCTGTCCACGATATGCACCAACTAAATGTTATCGAAGCTTTATTCAGAATTGTTATTTGGCAGAAGTAGTACTGAAAATGGAGTTGTCAAAAGATAATTTACCCAAAATTTCTTTGTTGGAGCAGAACTGTTATATTGAATAGATTTGAACCTGCTTTTATTCTTATTATCTCCAGATTCTATCCTAACTGATGGCCTGGTGCAGCTTGCCATTTGAAATTTCTTGTTCGACTTTTTCCAACTTGCTAATGTCTTATGTGGCTTGCATGTTTGTGACATAGCTTAATGTCCATTGCTTAGTTGAATTTATATCAGCTTAATATGGTTTACTAATTTAAAGTGAAAATATGACAGATTTAACATCTGCCATATATTCAAATTTAGAGCACTTGGTTAAAATGTGCCAGGGATTGCGCTATCTATTTTTGTTATAATTCTTACATCCAAGAGGAGAATGCAAGCTAGACGTAGATCTGTAGGCAGCAGACCAAGTGAGGAAAAAAAAGCAAGACAAAAGTAGAATTGAACACATAGAGCTTTAATATAATGGACTTAGTGATAATTACGTAGACTATATTAGAATGTAGAGTGGTGCTTTTGTGAAAGTAGCAAAGATCATGAGATAAAATGGACTACTAAAAGACTAGAGAAATATAACAGTAAAAGAGCAGCTTATCACATTAGCCACAGCTCCATTGTGTCCAACTTCATGTGCATGCATTATGATATTATTCTTGTCCCAGTTCATCTTGGGCATATCCATGCAGTAAGGACACATCTAACACCCATTTCAATCTCTAATATTCAAAGCATTAGCTTTTAGCGTTATCCATGCTTCATGAATTAAATTATCAATTTTATCTTGCTCTTGATGTTCATCTGTGTCGAAGTAGGTTTTTTAGATTTACTGATTCTTCCAAGTTGAGACGAAAAAGGTAAAGCAAGCTGTCAACTGAGCCGAAAAAGGTAAAGTGTCAATATTCTTACCTTTGATGGTGGTGGAGATGATGATTCACCAATATGTCATCCTTTCTTAATCAACTTTTTTCCTAGTTTTGTTTTGGTATGCGATGGATACTGGGACATTTAGTCAATGGTTGAAATATTGTTCAATATTGATGACAACATTTATTTTGATTGATATTTTGCTTCTGGTATCGCTCGTGGCATTGGATCCTACCCGGTTGTGTTTCTTTTATTGAACTCAACTACTCAATCTCAATTAATGAGGCATTTATGGTGTATATTTATTATTTAGGACTTAATCTACCATGTGTACAGTACATGAGGTTTTGTTAAGTTTGGTCGGTTATAAAACCATAGGCGATGATGAGGTCAAAAAATATTGAAGTAACAACCTACATCTTTTCATAAGATGTATTGGATTGCTTTCCGTAATGATAACGACCTTGTAGGCTGTCTAAAAATTACTATAGATGGCTGATCCCCATCAAACACCGATGATGAAAGTTACAAACATGCCTATAAATAAATGTATTTTGAGCCTTTTTTATTTTCGTGTCACATTGGTTGTTATAATGAATCAAGTTATTTATAGGTTTTGTGTGAATTTTCTGCTAATTCAGGTTCATATTTCATACGGGTTATGCCCAATCATGTTATTTACAGGTTTGGTATGATATTTTATGTCATACAAATTGTTATGATGAATCAAGCTATTTATAGCTGCTAAGTCAGGTGCGCAGGTCATACGGGTTATGAGCAATCATGTTATTTACAAGTTTGGTATGATTTTGTTGGCCTTTTTGTTTTGATGATGTTTTAACAAATAATTTATAACTAATATCGTTTTTCTAGTGTTTGTGTTTTCTTATTTATTGTAGACAAACAATGAGTCGGAGGTTGGATGGAATTGAGCCTACACGATCACATCAAATGGAGGTTGACGGAAATAGTGGATTGAAGTCATTTGCAATTCAAGTCACATACGAGATCAAGCTTCGTCCAATTTACCAAGTCAAGCTTATTGTAGAATCAAGATTGCTTGGGTAGTGAGTGGATGGGGATGTGACACATCACTACCAAATACAAAATTTGTGCTTGGTACCAAGCATATCCATATTTCTCTCTCTCTCTATATATATATATATACACACACACACACACACACACACACACACACACACACACACACACACATCTTGGTTTTTTGTTTTCAAGCTTATATAAATATAAATTTGTGAAAATGTTGAGTTATTTGTTTATGAACTTAACAATCATTATATACATCTTTCATTAAGTCTATATAATCATTTTATAATGTTTCAAAACATGGTTTAGTTAAAATGTCAAAAACAAGTGTTCATTTTTATGTTTTGGACTAGTTTTGTAAAATGATGAGTTTTCACTATTAAGAAGTGTAATTTTAAAAAATCTTTTTGTAACATGTTCATTTATATGTTTACAATCATTTCCTAAAGTTTTACAATTTTTAGAATTTATTTGTTATTTTTAAAGGCACTTTAAAAATCAGTTTTACTATTCATTACAGGCTGATGTTATGTTATCAGTCGACTGATACAAGTGTTCAGTCGACTGAAGAAATCGCTTGGAATTGCAAAAAGTTTCTGTTTTTTTCAGTCGACTGATGAGGTCTTCAGTCGACTGATGTGTTGTGAGCTGCCTGTAACGATCAGTTCATTAGTCGACTGATCCATCCCGTCAGTCGACTGATGGTCTGTAACGGCTATATTTTTAGTTTTCGTTATTTGTCTTTTTTTCTTGGTTTTTCTTGGTT